TGTGTGTGTGTGTGTGTGTGTGTGTGTGTGTGTGTGTGTGTGTGTGTGTGGTCTTTGGCAGCTTCATTTGGTCATGCCATGCCTCTGAAAGCAAATAGAGGTTTTTATAGGCAGCTTGCATAATGTTGGATTGGCGGCCTCGGGTACCCACAGTAAAGAGGATCTGATGTCCATGTTTTCTTCCTAGTGTTGAGGAAATGGTTTGGTCCTCCCTCCTTGGGGGGGCTGTGGTGTTTATTTTTTATTTTTTAACTTTCTGGTGCATTGTTTTCCAACTTTGGCAACTTTAAGATAAGCGGACTTCAACTCCCAGAATTCTCCACTCGGCTCTCTCTCTTTGCTCAATCTAAGCATTTTGGGGATGCCTTGGAAGGAAAGAAATGGGGGAGTTCAGGAAGCCCTTGTGGAGGAGGGAAGGAAATGAATCAGTCCTGAGAAATGACTAGAGGGGAGAAACAGAAACTAGCAAAAGAGAAACTAGGAAAAAAAAACAGAAAGAGAAAAATAGCTGGCTGGAGAATGTTGTCAGTTTGAAAACCCCTTTTCTCATCTCATCCACAGCGTGAGGCTTTCCTCAGGGTCTCTCATCCAAGGACAACCTTTTGCTTGTCTTTCCCAACATGTGTAACTTTAGATCGTATCAGCAGCTGAATGGGATTTGAGCCAGCCAATGTCTGTCTTTCAGCTTCCGGTTGGATCGTGTCAGAAGTGATGCCGCCGCCACCACAAAATGAACAGAAGGCTCCCCTGGTGGGGAAGGCAGAGGCTCAGCCGGGCCACCAGACCCCCCCAGCCTTCCACCCAGCTGCAGCTGTGACGCTGCCAGCCCCAAACGAAGTCCCCGGTGCCAAGACTCCCACCACACCTGTCTCGGAAGCAAGTTCTGCCCTCCAGACTCGCCAGGCCAGCCCCCTGCCTGCCGTCCCACTTCCGGAAGCAGAGAGCTTGCCCCCTAAGAGTGATCGCCCCCCACCCATTGGAGCCCCGAGTCCGCCTCAAAGAGAGGAGACGCGTGGCAGTGCCCACCTGCCCCCCAAGAGCGAACAGCCTCCCCCTGCCCAGGGTTCACCCACTCCCAGGGCAAAACAAGGTAGGTTTTGTTGTAAGTGGGACCAACCTACAGAGGGGATCTGGGGGGAGGGGGCTTGGATGCTGTTGCCCACAAATCATAGGGGTGGGTTTTTTTTCCCATTTTGCGCCAAAAAGTCTGTAGGTCCACTCAGCCATAAATATACTGTTTTGTCTAGAAGCAAAGAAATTAATTCAGCCATCTCTGCAAGTTCATCATCTTCACAACCTGTTTGACTCCCCCTTCGTTGTTCTGATGCCTTTGGATTCTCCTTCTTCCAGATTCTCAGAAGGCCCAAGCGAGACACAGGATGGCCAGGGAGCGTCGTGAAGAACGAGCCAAACATCTGGGTAAGAAGGAGGCCAGCTAACCTTCACACTGCAGGCTTACCCAGCCCTGCACACGAAGAAGGGGGATGATGGGAGATGCCATCCAATGCACTTAGACGGAGTCACCTCATTGAGCCATGTCAGGTCACCAAATCCAGATTTATGGTCCAGTTATTTCACCTTCTTTTTCAACCTGGTGGTCTCTAAGCCATCTGATTAGGCTCCTGTCTTGCTTAGCTGTCCAAACAGGGGAGGATGGGATTATCCAATGACAATTAAGGAGACTCCACATTCAGGAAATACTGCCCAATGGGGCAAAAAATAATAATAATAATCAAGACTAACATGCTTTTCTTTCTGTTGTATTCTTGGCCAAGACACTTCGTGTTTGTGATTGATTGTGAACAAAATGTCCTTTCATTCTTTCCTCCCAAAAGGAGAATGAAAGTGGGGAAAACATCTCGAAATGACCGAATTTACACAGAATATATTAAGTCATGGAAAGGATTTTGGAATCTTTTTTCCCTGTGAATCCCAAAATTTGAAGTTATCATTTACTTGAACGTTTTCTTCCTTTCCCCTTTCTTTAAAAAAAAAAAAAAGATGAATTCTAGTGTTGTTGATAGTTAAACATAACAACAACCCATCGCTGCAAACCAAGCATAACATTTTCCTATCAGAATTGTAGAAGAATTTAATTAATTCTCAATCCACCATTCAAGATATTTGGATAGATTCCCAAAAAATGGGGATAGAGCCCCCCAAAACCCATAACGTAAAACCCCTTAATATCTAAAATCAAGTAAAATATAGTACCAATTCCATCAGCTTTCTTCTACATCTTATACAGAAGAGTTCCTAGCTTAGAAACCATAATGCAAATCACTCAGGAGCTTCAGAAAGTGCTGGCCTAGATAAACCAGATGATAAATCCTTAGGTTGAATCTACTCTGGAATAAATCAGATTCAGTTTTAATGCTGCAACAGTTGGGCTTCCTCAGAACTGGCTATTATGAGATGCTTAGTTTATACTTAGCTATTTTTAAATTTCCCGTTGTATGTTTTTCATGGGTTAAATCAGTGTATCTCAACCATGGCAACTTTAACTTTTCTGGGCTTCTAAGAGTTGGAGTCTTAAAGTTTAAAGTTGCCAAGGTTGAGAAATATTGGGGTTATCTGTGATCCAATATTTTCGATATATTTTTGAAGCATTAGAAAGAGCTTTGAAATAGGTTCCTGCATAAATAACATGTCTGAAAACCAGGCAAGATTGCAATGGGTCCAGATAATACCTTTCAAGTTAAACAGTTACCAAAGAATGCCTAGCAATCAACCTTCAAAAGATGGAAAAGTAAACTCATCTTTGAGAACAGATAATTGCACTTTATCACAGAGCAACAGGCTTGCAAGATACCCGTGCTGATGAAATTTGTTCAAAAACCTTGTAAATTCCTTTTAACCAATATGATAGGATAATCCAATTTGCTCAATATCCGGTAAATTCATATCCAATAGCCATTCCAAATTCACATGAATATTGACTGTTGAACTAGCTATAAAACATAATCAGCAAATAATAAAAACTTACGCACTTTCCCTTCCTACTGTATGTGATATATTCTGAATTTCTAATCCTTCATACAAGGGGTTCTGAATTAAACATAACTGGCAACATAAATTGTTCCACGGAGGGGATACACCATAAATTATCACCCATGATTTAGGAGTTAGATAATTTAGATCAATTCAAAACATAAAAATTCTTAGAGAAGCCCAAATCTACAGAAATCAGGGGAAATCTTGTATATTTTCAATTAAAGTAAGAACATCCATTTTTGTTCAAAGTTGGTAGTCTTGTATAAACCTAGCCTACATGGGATCCATTCTTGGAAGAGGCCCTTGGAATCACTGGCTACAATTCAGATGCCATGTTCACACTTGGTTCCATCAACTAAGTTTTTATTGGCTAAATTGTAATTAGTCACGATATACTGCACCAAAGCTGGTTTTCCATTCAGTGTAAACTTATTCTTTAAGAAGTGGGAAGAAACTATAAGCCCTTTCCTTCCTTCCTTCTTTCCTTCTTTCCTCCCTTCCTCTCTCCCTCCCTCTGCCCCTCCCTCCCTCCACCATCCATCCATCCATCCATCCATTCATCCATCCATCACTCCCAATGTCTTATAGCAGAGGTCTGCAAACTTGGCAACTTTAAGAGTTGCGGACTTCAACTCCCAGAATTCTCCAGGCTGGCTGGAGAATTCTGGAAGTTGAAGTACACAAGTCTTAAAGTTGCCAAGTTTGGGGTCCCCTGTCTTACAGATATATTGGACTACAGTTCCCATCAATAACTGTCTTTCACTTTTCCTTCCTTCCTTCCTTCCTTCCTTCCTTCCTTCCTTCCTTCCTTC